TTGTTTACTATCTACTTATATGTTTTCTATATTACATTCTTTTTAACCAGTCTCCATCTTATATATTCCTTTCTGTTTTCCTTTTCGCTAGTATTCAATGACTTCATCTCCTCATCTTCCTGATTCTCACCACCACCTCTCACCACATGGGGGAGATCATGCAATTGTGGCTTTTGCTCTTGAGGATGTGCTGCGGAGTCCCATCCACAGAGTGATCAGGAGTCCCATCCAGGGAGTTTGCACGGTACTACCCTTGGGCACCCATGTCGAAAGAGCCTTTGCGACTTCGTCTCTTGGACCAGCCACAGGTGGCTTTGCAGCTCATCCTTCTCGGCCTGAAGGGACGAGACCTTCTTCTGTGCCTGCTCAGCCTGCTCGTAGCGCTCATCCTTCACTTTCTGAAGGGACTCATTTTCTGAAGGGACGAGGCCTTCGCTTTCCAAGTACTCTTGCTCGAAGCACTCTGCTAGCTCAGACACATCAGATGTGGAGCGGCAACGCTGTAATATGCATGACCCAGCAATGTGAAAAAGAAGAGGCATAGGGAGGCACGATGTCCGGGCTTGGCTGTTGGACGACATGCGCCCTGACCCCTCAGATTGGTTGGATCCGTCTGTGCAAGTCTCTCCTGTTCAACCAACATCAGAGCGCAAGTTGAAGGTTGTCCTCTCCAACCTCCATGAGATCTCATCCCTTTCGGTCAATTTTCCTGATATGCCGCACAAGAATTTCTCTATACGAGTGTCCTACAAGAGTCCCCTGCAGAGTGTCCTACAAGAGTGGCCCACAAGACTGCCCCAACAAATTGTCTCACCAGAGTACCATATAAGATCACATAAGGGTGTGCTACAAGATCTACAAGAGTCTCTTACAAGACTGTCCCTGCAAGAGTGTCCACAGGAGTGTCCTACAAGAGGGCCCCACAAGAATGTCCCACAGGGAGGCCTTGCAAGAGTGTGCCCTAATTACAAGGGTGTTCTACAAGTGTCCCGCAAGAGTGCCCTACGAAAGCCAATTTCCCACCAGTGCCCTCCAAGAGTGCTCTAGAAGAGTGCTGCAAGAGTGCCCTAGAAGAGTGCCCCTACACTTCTCTGGCCGGCGATGGTCAGGCTGGCGATGAATTTGGTGACACTTGCGTTGGGATTCAGACCCATTCAAAACTGGTGAATATTCTTTCACATACCCGTGAGTAGTGCCGGGGGGCCTGGACCATGGGATTTTATAAAGAATACCACATGGGTATCTTTCACAAGTTATCACAATAAAAAAAACGGATCAAGTTCCAATAACATGCGGACAAGCTTGAGTAGCGCAAGACACAGCAGCTGCAGTGCCTCAAGTTCCAATAACAAAAGACAAGCTCTAAGAGACGGGTGAAGCCGCACCGGTTAACCACCGACCGCTCACCCCTCCAGGTGTCCCGTGCAAATCCATGTCATGGTCAAAGCGATCCGGCCTGGAGGGCCATGGAGTTGGGGAGTTGGTTTTGGGCTACGAAGAAAAAACCACTCAATGTGACCGGTTTGGAGCATCCTAGGAGCCCGGACTCACAGTTGACCTCTGCTTTTGATCGAAAAGGCCGTGCCGTGGCCGTATTTTGGGGTGGTGGCCGGTCCAAAATAGAGGTCACTCAGGCTCGGCCGCCACTTTCAGGACATAGGCTTTTGGCCCCCCTTGTCCATCAGGGAACATCGTGTGTTTGATATGTTGGCTCCATTTTGCATTCGCGACGCTGGAGTTTCAATACTTCGCGACTTTGAAAAGGGCTAAGCTAAAGCTTTAAAACTTGTTGTCTACCAGCGTGCTCAAAGAACTTCTTCTTCGAAATGATTCGCTTCTTCTTCTCCCCAAGTCCTGCTAATCCAACACTTCACCTAAGTCCAACATACTGACCCCTCTTCGGGCCCCATGACCTTTTTGAAGAAGATGTTTTTGTTTGGAAGCAGCTCTTGGGAACCGACCCGGGTCCCGGGATCCGGCCGAGATCTCCACCTGATTTGCTCCGTCTGCGGCTCCTCTGCACTGTCCTGGCGGAGCTGGCGGCGGAGCTGGCGGCGGAGCTGGCAGCGGCCCGAGGGACTTGAAGAGCTCCCGAGGCTAGTAGCAAGAGGCTATTAGTGGCTCCTGGCATTACTACTACTAGGAACAAGACTAGTAGATCCTGGCAGTACTACTAGTAGCAAGAATGCTACTAGGTTGGAGGCCACAAGCTACTAGTGTGGAGGCCATTGCTAGTAGCAAGAAGCTGTTCTAAAGCCTCCAGTGGCAGGAGATCCACAAGTGGCGTTTGATCTGAAAAGCCTCCACCCAAACAAGAATGACAAAGAGTCGCCCTGGGCGTGTGAGTCGAATGGTCCCGGGAGTTCCTCACGCGCATGGAGCACTCCAACTGTATATGGCTGCTTGCGAGCAGCAAAACTCCATCAGTTCGAGTGACATCAACACTTGCTGACGAGGGGTATTCGGGTGAGTTTCACCCAAACAATCATTAATAATATCAACAATCACATTCATTGTAGAAGGGTCAGCATTTTCTTAAGAAGGGGTGACGGTCAACACAAGATAAACCCACACAGGTCTCAGTGCCAGTCTCCTCCCTTGGAGGTGAACCACCTTTGGGGGGGTGCTCGACCTCCATCGTTGGACCAAGGCATTTCCCGGAAACACGCACTTCAGCTTTGTAGACACTGTTCCCACTATCTGCTGAATACCAAAAAAGGCTTCCTGGATGGTGAAACATCTGGGACGTTCTTTTGGGGGGATGTTTTCAAGAGTCGAGATTGCAGCAAAAAAGATCTGGAATCGTTCATATGTATATATACTGTATTCTACAGTATGTCTTCAAAGACAAACAGATCTATCACAATTCTCTCCCAGGACCTGGGTTTCCCTCAACGACCTCCCTCTGCGGCTGTGTTTCATTCCCCAGCCTCGCCGCTGTCGGCATCCTGGCAACGTCGTCGCAGGGATGCTGGTCTCAAATCCAACAGTTTGGTGGATGTCCGGCTTTAGATCCTTTAGAATATCCCACGGTATTAGACTTCAAAAAGATTCCCACACTTGGTATCGCTTGGTGGTTCCAGGGTCTCTATCATGTCTTCTTGCTCTGTAATTATGCTGCAACTCGTCTCGTCCTCCGCCTGGGAAGACACGTCTGAATTCTTTCGGTCGGTTCCGATCGTGATTCGCTGTCAAGGCCTCCTTGACAGGCCGAGATCACGGGTTCACTCGGGTTGAGGGCCCAACTCCTAGGTTCTTTATGGTTGTTTAGCCGTCAAAGCTAGCCCGCGGTTTTGTTAGCTGTCAAAGCAATCAAGCCTGAGAGGATGAACAATCATGCTTTGGCATGCATTGGCATGCGTTAGCATGAACAAAACATGTGTATGTCTATATAGCACTACTTTACAACTACATTTTTTGTCTTTAATCACCGCCCTCCACCTTTTGCTTGCAGTACCGGTACTTTGAGATACCCCTCCCAAACTGCTTTCCCAAGACCATATCACGGGTCTGGGCTATTGCGCATTAGCGTTGTTTGTCATTGACTTGCAGTCATGCTGGCCTTTCATTCATGCTTCCACTATGCTTGTGATTGCTACATCCTGTTGAAAAACCTTCCAGCAACGGTAGTCAACTCTTTTTAGACCAACCAGAAACGATGACCCCATCGCCCAGGCATGCAGGGTAAGCAATGTCCTTGATCATGAACAAGTCCTTCAACCTACTTGAACAACAACACCATCCACCCATCTCCTGCCAGGTCCCCGCGGTGTCCACGCGCGGTACATCCGTTCCGACCGCTCCGCGGACCGGACCCCCACCTTCGGCACGGCGCTGGGCGCGGCCTGGCGCTTGCTCAGTGCTCGCAGTTTGCGAAAGACGAACATCGGAACATCGCAGCATCTGGCCAACTCATGCCCAGTGTTTGGCTCCAATGCGCGAGCCTGGAAAGATACCCCGCATTGAGCCAGTTTAACCATATGTCTTTTTCCCTTGTGAATGCCCGTGAGTAGACATCTCGCTGAAGTTATATATTGTGCAGCCGGGCTCCATATGGCTCTGGAAGACACGGTCGTATGGTATCCACCGGTGATCCCGCCCGTGACAGTCGAATCTCTGTGGTTTTGATTTAAACACGATACAAAAAGCTTTGAGAAGAAAGGAAGGCCGAGTCGAGATAATTAAAAGACAACAATAATGATCAATTTGATGATTAATGATGTAAGTCTAACTTTAGGATACTTTAGGAACATCCTCAAGCTATAAAGGAACATGGTGGAAACCTCGGTCGGTGCACGTATGCCAATCCATGCCAATCCATGCATTAAACCGCATGGAGATGAGACTTCAAAGGGTGGAAGAGACTCCTAACATCTCCAAAACCGCCACTCAAACGCAACGAAAACCGGGTTTGGCAACTAAAACCGGGCTTCTCAAAAACCAATTCTATAGGGCTTGGTTGCTCACCGCATGCTTCGCCCTTCCAACCGTCACTCGAATGCCCCGCCGACTGTGAGATCGAGAACCGGCCGGTCGATCCCTGGCCACTTCCAACTGTGTAAAATATCGGCCTTTTTGATGTTGCCTGATGTCATGAACAAAAGAGGTGCACATTGTATATTTAATATTGCACATCCCCCCTTCGTACAGAGCCTTCGACGCTGCCTGGCTCACATAGCCCCCCTGTCAGGAAGTTTCAGCACGGATGTCGAAGCGACCATGTAGGGTAGGGAGGTCGATACAAACGGATTTTAGGGCCACCCAGGTTTAGATTTGTTTTTGTTTAAAACCAAAAAGATACCTTTAATATCCTTTAATGATGGGATTTATACTTATACTGTCTGTTCCATTGTTTATTTCACCTCAGTGTTGCTCATCATAAGAAGGAGCTACCATGAGCTACCAATGAACCTCCAGCTACCAATGAACCAAGGACCGATCTAGGAGGATATAATGACCTTGGTCCGGCCACACGACCTTTTCTCCGCTGTTGTCAAGCATCAAGCGGCCGCCCGGGCCAGCCGCTGGCCGTCGGCCGAGAGGCGCAGCTGGGAGCTTTGAAGGCTCTCGCGGATGGTGTGAAAATCCGCGCAGATCTGCTTCCTGTGATAGGGGCCGAGGTCACTCGCAAAGGAAGCACGGAGCGACGTAGTTCTTACTATGTTCATTATGTTCTTGCTATTTGTTGGTTTTCGTGTGCCAAAGGGAAGGAATCACCCAGATGTCGTTTCTCAACACCCCCCCACGAAAAAATCCCATACACTCCATGTATGGAATATATGCCTACATTGACCCCCCAAACCACCCCAATGTAGGCATATATGGCATACATGGAGAGTATGGGAATAGTGTGATCGACTTGTTTTCCCTCTGGAGGCGACGTACGGTTTCACTGTCAGACTGCTTTGGCTTTTGTTGGGAAACTCCCTCTTGTCTATAATTCTATAAGGTCCACCGGTCTGTTCATCAAAAGCCCCGTGTGGTGAAGCACAGGATATTCGTTCGCGGAACAAAACGTGCTGTTTCCAGGAAAAAGGGTGTCCGCGTTCGAACCTCCATTAGCCTCCATTCTCTTCATGCCCAAAGCCCAAAGCACTCAAAACTGCTTGTGAAAGCTGCCGCTTGAGCACGTTCTTGCCCTGTGCGTTTGAGTGCTGCGCTATTTTGCGCCGTTTCCCAGGGGTCATGTGCCGCTTGCAGATTTGTTCGGTTGACATGCAAGAAACACAAACACTTATACACTATAACAACAAGGGCCGTTTCGCCAAATTACAATGTTTCTTTTTCTAGAAGCAGCAGTAATATTTTGCATACTTATAGGATATACTTAGGTAACTTAGGAAGATGCAGGTAAATTGCTGCTAAGCTCCAATTTGTTATACACCATCCATGTATAGCCTACATTATTGTATACTGTACCTACATTGGGGTGGTTGGAGGGTCAATGTAGAATATTGTCACATATTCCAGTCCCATGGATGGTCTGGGATAGTTATTTTTATGTTCTTTTGGGGCTGCGACTTCGTCCCCTGCTTTCCAAGGGACAAAAGCTTGAAGTCCATAATCTCTTGGATCCCCACGAAGCCTTCTGCATCAGCCAGGGACCTCAAGTACTCCTCAGTGAGACCCAAACGAGCGTTGGGTCAACATGGAGTTTCTTGCTCTTTGGGGGGGTGCCTTGGGTCTCCAATTCAGATCAGATTTGTTTGTTGACTTCCAAGTAGCATGAAGAACGTGAGGCACAAATGAAATTTCAGGCTTAATCAGAATGCAACGCAGAACTCAGAACCTCGTTCCTGAAGAGATCCTCAGTGCGTAAACAATGAAATTTCATGCTCAATCAGAATGCAACGCAGAACTCAGAACCTCGTTCCTGAAGAGATCCTCAGTG